GGGTTAGTGAGAAGCGCGCGCTGGGCCATCGCCTCTGCCGCTTTGCTAGGAGGACTAGCGCTGGCGCCCGGTGAGTACCTGCCCGACCCCGCCGCGCCGCGCCGCCTCTCGGAATGGGGCCGGGGATGTTTCTAGAGTGTTCCTGCGCTGCAGCCCGAACCCGGTTGCGTCTTATAAGCCCCGCTGGGACTCTTACCACCCAGAACGGGCCGGTACAGGGCCTGCCACGTGTACTCGTGATGACTCGCCCCGCAGTCACCCTTACAATGGGGGTCTGCCTCCTGGAGACCGTACAAGGTGCGGGGAAAGTCACCTGGGACAGGACCAGGTCGTGATCCCTACGGGAGGAGGTCTTTTATTGCCCCAGCGTTGGGCTTGACCCCTATGGCCCGCCCGCCCCCGGTGGTTGTACGGCCTGCTAACCGAGAATGGTGTTTACATTTTTATATGGCTGAAAAGAAATCGAAAGACTATTTTGTGGCACGTGGACATTACATAAAATTCACATTTCAGTGTCCATAAAGTTTTATTGGAACACAGCCACGTTCATTTGTTTGAGTGTTGTCTGTGGCCGCTTTCGTTTCACAACAGCTGCCCGAAAAGTCGGAAACATTTCCTGCCTGGCACTTGACAGAAGTTTGCCCGCCCGTCACCGAGCAGGTTGAATCTCCAGTGGAGGCGAGGGCTGGAGCACACGAGAAACGCAGCGTGCGTAAGTTGGAAAGAGCACAGTCCGTTGTTAGAAATCAAAATTGTATGTTTGGGGGAAGAAAAATTGAAAAGAAAAAAATCTTTCTACGTGAGACTCAAATGAAGCTTCGAAACTTCCTCTACGGGTTGGTGAAAGGTTGAGTGACTCCAATGGAAAGGGAAATGGTTTGCATATTTATAACCTAGCCACCGGAGAGTTATGTTTACCAAAAGGGAGCAAAGTTTAAACAATAGTAGGAAAAGACTTCCCTGCCTCGTGGAAAAAGATAATCAGAATACCTATTGAATAAAATAAATGAGTGAGAAGTCCTGAAAACATTTCACTCTTTTAAAAATTTCAAACTGCTCTTTCAATACGTGGAAAAGCAGAACACTTGGTTAGCATATTGTCATCCGCCTTTAAAACCGTTTGTATTAGGGAGTTGCTTTTTTCTTACAATCTGCTGATTCGGCACATGCCACCTCTGACCGTTTTGCAGCTTGGAATCCAAAGTGTACCAAGTTTAGTAGTGAAATAAATGAAATATAATAAACACCAGCTATGAAAAAAAGGACTCAACAACATATTTTACTTAGGGTAAAAAAAAGTATTAAAAATAATTAAAATTACTTATTTTGGTTTGCTCTTGGATATTTTAGTCGGTTCTCCCACCCCTATGCAAATATTCTGTGCTATTGAGGAAAGCTTGGCACCACGAGGTTGGGGGTGGTTTATATTCCTAGTAATCGGATGCCGTGGATTGATGAGGCTGGAAAGTCCAAATGGTTGTCTCTCTGGAGACATTCAGCGATTAACAATGTGTTGCGGCAGACAGTGCCAGGCCTGAACTGAGAATTCACCTGAAGGTGCTCTGTACATCAACACTTTTTGAAATAAATGGCTTCTGGGATTGCTAAACCCACTACCACCCCACCTACTCCTCCCAGCCACAGGCCTTGCTTCTGCTTCTGCCAATTCCCCACCCTTCCCACCACATTGACACCTATTCATTGCTAATGGACTATACCCAACATTTACCCAAACTCTATCTTGGACGGGCTAAGAGTGCTAACTAATATAGAACTGAGGGTTCCGGTTTTGGTAAAAACCTGCATTTGACTGGGGAAGTTCCCTCCTGAGCCCGAGATTTTATAATAGTAGGCTCTTGACTCTCCCTCACTCCTGGTTTCTGATTGCTAGAGTTTCCACCCAAATAATCCCCTCAAGCCTATTTCCAGGGACACAACTGTACTCAATTGTTATTTACATGCTATGTAATTGATGCAGTATCCTCGTATGTATGCACAGATGTCGCAAGAAGCACAGGGGGACCCGTAGTCCTTGCCATTCAGTGTGCACCGCAAATATACACCCATCAATAATACATCAATTAAAAAGAACATTAATTATACATGAGAGCCTCACAAGCCAGCACATGTGCGCCATTTTTTCTTTGCTGTTGATAATAAAGAGCTTTTTAGCAGCTTGGAAAGAGGTCTAGTTTTGTTTCTCACTTTTCCAAAACTTACTAGCTGTGTGAGCTTGGGCAAGTTACTCCATTTTCTGGGCCAGTTTCAACTTCTGTAAAATGAAGGGGTAGACTAAATGAGCTCTCTAAGGCCATTCTTCTCTGGCCTTAAAGAAGTATGGCCAAAAATAAGTGAGGTGGAGGCAAAGGTTTTATGATTTTTTTTTTTTTTTTTTGCCTAGTGAGGACATCAATCTACTGTTTATTACCAACATAATTTCATAAGAGAAAGGACATCTATCACCAAAAAAGTAAGAAAGGTTCCATCTCAGGATAAAGGGCAGCCTTTCTCTTCCCAAAAGAGAATTGTTGCCACCCTTGCATTGACATAATAAAAATAAGAATAGGGTAAAATTAAATTCAAAAGCAGAAAAATTATGAGGACAAGAAAGGGGCCACATCCTAAACCTGACAAACTCAGGGTAGGCCTTCATGGCAGACCATACAGACTCAGAGACCAAAAGTAACCACACAGGATGGTCAGAACATAAATATTCCCGACTAAAGGCGAGTCATGGCAGGTAGTCATGTCCTGGGCCTATAGCTTCCTTGGCAAAGGTTTGATTTTTACCTTAAGTAAGCCTGTCTGTTGCCTTTTTGCACCTAAGATAACAAACCTTTGGAATGTCAGAGTAATCTTTTTCTGGACCCGTCAAGAGTGTAACCTCACACCAGGGCATGAGACCACAGAACCCCTCACTGTTACCTTGTTCCCCAAATACCATCTCTGTGTTCTGTAAATGTTAATTGTTAACTATCCTGTACCCACCAGTGTAAAAGAAGTAAGTGCCTCTGTTTTGCTCTTGATCCAATCTTAGAGATTTCCCAGTTTTGCTTCCTCCTGCCTCCCTAATCTATCACCAGTCAGTTTCATAGAAACCCCCTGCCCCCCCTTTGTCTCTAATGTATAAAATAAAATAAGCTGCACAACTGCCATTCTCCAGAGCATTGTCTCAACCACTTGAGATTTTGCTTCCCAGCAATTGTCAGTTTGGCTCAAATAAACTCATAAAAAGTCTCTATAGGCTTAGACGTTTCTTACATTGACAATTAGAGCATAAAAATTTACAGTACTCACATTGTGTGCAGTTGTTCCCTTGATACGCTTTGTCAATTTGGGTGGAATATATATTCAACAATGCAACTCCTGGTGAAACTCAGATGTCTAACTTGTTCTGTTATTGTATTTTTAGCACGATCATTATTGAATTCTTGTCTCACATAGGCTTGTTAATGAAAGTGGAACTGAACTTTAAGCAATTGCTCTTAATTTGGAATATTTTGGATAACTTGAGTAGACATCAAGGATCAACAGCCTCTCTCCACCAGGTTCTCCTCCCCACCACCTCTCCCCAGGGGAAGTGTGGACACAGGTCAGAGGCAGAAATTGGGAGGGCTGCTGGGAGCCTCCAGCTCAGGGGCCACTCACCCTGAGCAGCACAACTTAGGCCCCTAATCACCCAACCAAAGCATGCTTGTCAGGAATAAAGAGCAGCTTTTCTAAGGATCCCTCCAGTGAGCTTCACCTTTTCACTTAAAAAGGTGAAAATGGCCCATTGGAACGGACTGCTATGGTGAACCTTTAGATGACCATGTGTGAAACCTGCCCTCCAACCCCTAACCTGGCCCTCTGCTTCAACATTTGCCATCAGTTTTCTGATAGGAAGCACAACCTTTCAAATTCAGTAAGAGAAGTATTATCCAAATAAAACTTGGGGAAAAAGGAATTCCATTCTTCTTAGTAGACATACTACCAAAAACAGTTGTACTCAATTATTATGATGTTTTGACTATCATCAAAAAAATTGTGGAAATTTGTTTTCTCTCTTGTGTAAATGCCTATATAATAACCCAGATTTTGCCTCTTGACCCACAAAGCCTCTAATATTTACTACCTGTCCCATTTCTGAAAAAAATTTGTCTACCCTGACCTTAGACCTAGGCTTTTGGGTGAGAAAATAGTGCCTTTAAAGGAGAGGAGGGTGAGGGGTAGAGAGAAGCTTTTCCCTCCATGGGGGTAAAGGGTCATCTCCAAGTGATTAAATCATGCAGGTAAAAAGTTACCTGGCTAAAGGATAGAGTATGAAACTCTGTAGTGTGCTCTTCAGCCTACCAGCTCTTCCACAGCCTTGAAAACAGACCTTCAAGGGTATATGCTTTGTCACAGGGGCCTTTCAGTTCACTAGACTTGGGCACACAGGCATGAGCATGCCCCATCTGTAGGCACTTAGCAGGAGAGTGTGGCAGAGAGAAGCCAGCACAGGCATACCTCGTTTTATTGCTCTTTACAGATGTGCTTTTTAATAAATGAAGGCAAGACCCTCTGCCAGCAAAAGAGTATGACCCCCTCTATTACAGGGTGGTCTGGAACTGAGCCCACAATATCTCCCAGGTATGCTGGTACAGTGTGAAGCTCTTCCACAGATGTGGATAATCCAGGGGTGGGGTAACCATCTTTCCCCCTCAGGTGGCCCTCCTAATTTAGGACTCTTTTCTTTTACTTCTTCAGACATCTAAATGATAAGCATTTGACTTTTTTTTAATTTTTTTTTTTTTAGGAAATTATAGGAAGACATTTTGAAAGCTAATTATGAAAACATTTGTCATTGGGATCAGTGGGTGAGTAATTTTGCTACAAACAGCTGGTCAAGACATTCAGGATGTCCAAAGGGTGTTTTCATGTGGACCTGGTGGCGGGAGGAGAAGCAGTGAGGATTCCTGAGTCCTGGAGAAAGCAGGCCACTATCGAATGTAAAACCATGGAGTGCTGACTGCCTAAATGCCGAGAGGAGATGGGAGAGTTCCCTTATGAACAGAAAAGCTGGAGAGTCAATAAACAAAGCTTGCCTGCTTTATCACTTATTTCCCATAGCTGATACCAGAGACAAGGCCTGATCAGGTGCTGCTTTGGTTCAGGATGGTTTCCTTCTCCATATGGCTGCTCTGCCAGTGTGACATCAGAGAAAATCTATCATTTCTTTTCTGCTATGCCCAGCTTTTACATATGGAACATAGAACCACCTCACCTGACTGGTGTGATCAGCTAAAATGGACCTCCCACCTAACCCAAAGGAGAGAGAGATTAGAGGAAAAGGAGACATTACAGAGGAGCTGTAAACTCATGAGAAGTGGGTTTTTAATAAGCCACTCCTCTGTTATTCTCCACTCTGCATTGAAACAAAATCACAATGACCATATGCCGTTTTATGGACTCGCATAAGTGCACTGTGCATTCTGTGTCATATATGAACCCTGAGGATGTTTCACCATAGACAAAAAATTCTTTTGTTTCCAACACAGTAGCTGTATTTTTAAGTCTTGGTATTACCCAATTTACTTGCCCAAATAGTTAGTTACCTTTCTCCTCAATCCTTCCTATCTTATCATGTACTATATCAGGTCTACTTATGCCTATGGTTTTGCCAACAGAAAAACATTATCTATGAAAGAAATAATTTTTTCTTAGATATTAGTGTTTTAAATTTTCTTTTTTCTAAGATAAGATAATTTTTAAATGTATTATGTTTTTAATGTATCTTCTTGGCATTTTCAGGTTTTAAAAAAATTCTTTTTTTTTTTTTTTTTTTTTTTTCAGTGTGACAAATGGTGGGA